TGTAATGATATGCTATTTAAGCTATCATACATTATGTAAAATAAAATATTATGTAATGTTAATAAATCAAACAATTAATAACAGGAATGATAGTAAAACATTTACATCCGATTCCATTCTTTTTTATTATCAAATAACATATATTTTAGTACGATATTTACTCATCGTAAGGAGATAATACTTAAGCTATCATATATAATTAAAATAAATTATATAATCAATATTGTAAAATAATTATAATAATTTGTAGTCATTAATTATTAGATTAAGTTGTTAGTATTAACTAAATTAAGATAGCACATTTACACACGCACACACACATATTTCTCCAGTTATAAGGAGGCCGGCCACTTCCAATAAACCCACAGTGTATGTATTGTTCCCGTTGCTTTTGGACAGATGATCACAAGCGAGTGTAAAAGACTACGCAGAGATTCTGACAAAAGCACGGGAACCTAGAAAAGTGCTTTATATTTTAAAAAAAAATTAATAAATAAAAAACAATTGTTACATTAAAAATCTTTTTATTCACTACGGTCACCTTTGTCAAATTCAACATATCAATTTGCCGCCTGAAGAAGAAAGGTAATCAAATTTATAATTAATTTATACGTGTAAATCGATTTTACATAACTAGGCACTCCCCGCCTTATTTTCGAATTACTACAATAATACCTATGGGCAAATACGTGTACGCGCGTTCGAAAGGATTTGCGGGCCGCCTATATTACGCAGATAATGCAACCGCCACCGACACCGACACAAGAACAATAATATTATGTTATTACGCGAGAATAAAATATAATATAACAGTGTGCGACAAAGGACGAAACAGAGACCGGGAAAAAAAAAAAAAAAAAAAAAATTGCGGTCTGAAACCGGATTGAATTTTGATACGGGCTTGTCGTCAGCGCGGTTTCGCGAAAAAAATTCGCATATGCTCCACGATGGGATCCGGTAAGAAAAAAAAATTGCGCTCTCACGGTCAGCCGCCGACGAAGACGGATTAACCGACGAAACCGCGTTAAACATAGTCAGAAAAATGCCTTTTTTTTTCTAAATACCGAAAACGGCACCGCGGTTATTCGCAAACCGCGTAAGTATCGGGCGAGATCAAAATAAGAAGTGATGCAGGGGGTGGGATGTGGGAGGCGAGATTAAGAGTACGGCTGCCGACGGCTCCTGCGGGGGAAACGAAGGCGAACTCGCAGCGGGAAGGAAATGTATAAAACAATTTGTATTTTTTTTTCCAAACGACCAGTTACTTTTAGGTCGGGTTAAATCGCATTCGTACAACAATATAACTGGACGGCGACTGGACCGCGCGCGGGGAACACGTGTGCCGTCATAATAATAACACAAACGGACGGACGGCCCGTTTAAAAACCTTCAGTCCGTTTGATCGTTCGGTTTTTACTATCGTCCCGCGCACACTTTGAGTTATATAGGTACGCGTTTTATACATTTTTTTATTATTATTATTATTAAAACATTCGGTCGAAACGAGGAGAATAAACCGTTTTACAGTTTTAAAACGAGAGATTATATATCCCGGTCATAAACTACGATATAATAATAATAATAATAATAATAATAATAATACGTATTATAGTACAATGTTGTTTAACTGCTGCTCCCGTTTTCGGGAGGAGGCTGGAGCTGGAGTAAATGGAGGAGGAGGAGTAGACGGCGGGATCTCGAAACTCGAAACTTTAAATCATACATCACGTCGTTGTTGTCGTCGTCGTCGTCGCCGTAATAAACATTTAAACGTTCTCAGAAAACGATTTTTGTATTATTTTTATTCCGCCAACGAAAAAGGAAAACCACGTCCATAAAAACCGCGGCTCGTATGTGCGTTTTTTGTTTTTACTTTCGCCGCCCGCCGGTTATTAAAGAGCACACACACACACGTCCGCGCGCACCCGTTAGCGACCGAGAATATACGCGTATATTAAAATATTATACGTTTTTAACGGGTCCGTCTGCAATATTTTTTTAGTATTATTTTTATTATTTTACGAAACGATATAATATTATTGCTCGTGCGAGCGGCGGCTCAAGAGGACGCCGCACGTTCTTACGTGTATTAAATTGTCGCCGGTGACGGAGTTCAAGACGAACGCAGCGCGGCACACGGGGCATCGTGTACGATTTCGCGATATTATTGTTTCGATATCGGACCGTTGTGAAGGTATGTCACCTGTCAAACGTCGTAATAATGTTAACAACAATCACGAGTCCGTTTGGTCCCGACGTTATTTCGGGGATAAAAAAAAAACGGCCTAAAAATAAAAATAAAAGCGGACCCGGTTCGACCGGAACGCTTTTGAGTTGCGGACACGTTTTCTTTAGCTATGCGTTCTCGTATCTTTCCCGCCCGCCACTGTCTACATTGTCGTGTACTCAAATCTATTTATCGGCCCGACGAAGTGTCCGTTCACAATCGATATTATATCGCCAGCGATTGTACCGGCCGATTGTCAACGCTATCATTTCCGGACGACATTATCGTTCGCGAACGCAGTACACCCGATGAACCGGAGGGGGGGTGGGTGGGGTTGGCGGTGAGGGGGAAAAGATATTGATGTGTGTCTGCCGTTCAGTACGTCCCGCGAACGAGTCTTCTTTAGAAAAAAAAAAAAAAAACAAAAAAATATTATCGCCATAGTTTTCTCGCGCCGTCTGCAAGCACAATTATACGTCCGGATCGATATTTCATCGCGGTCCAGAGTCGCGGCACAAATATTGATTTTGAATTACACACGCGCGATTTTTCGGGGGGTTTTATTTTTTCCCCACGGTAAATCTCGCCCGACGCCCCGTCATACACACGCGTCGTCGTTGTCGTCGTCATGATTATTATTGTTTCCCATATATTACAGTTACGCGTCGGTCGATCGGTTTGTGTTTTTTTTTTTTATTTTTGTTAATATACGCGGCGCAAATCACTCGGGTCCGGGCGTGCGACTATAAAAACGGAAAAAAAAACCGTTAAAAGACGCGCGGACGTACAGGTTAAGACGGAAAGACGGATGACGACGATTTTTATTAGACGGGGGGGGTACGGGGAGGAGGAAAGCGGCCGAATTATCGCGGCGAGTTCCGATGTTACGGTCATTCCTGCAGTACGTACGATTGTAATAACCCGTTTGCCCCGTCGGGTCGTCGCCGTCGTAAAATATATGCATTCGAAATGTAAAAAAAAAAAAAACCAAATGCGATTTTATTGGCTCGCGCAAACGTGTACATATATATTATCGCGATATACCTACGCGGCGTGAAATAATATTATTATAGAAAAAAAAAAACAGATAAAAAAATAATAATTTAAGTAGAAAACTAATACGGTCGTACGGGTCGTATATATACGCGCGCGTACCTGCAGCGTACATTAATAATATAACGTAATAAAATATTTGTTTTTTTTTTTTTTTTATCGTATTTTTTTTTAAAATTTAATATATTATTATCATACGACCGCGCGGATTCAGCATGATATTAGACGCGCGCGCATACACCCGCGGACATATTATTATAATAACAAACGCCAAATGGCAATGTCAACGGTCGGACGGTTGGGCGGGGGGGTCGGTGGCGATAGGAGAGGGGAAACGGGATAGGCCGCCGTTAATCGTTTTTTTTTTTCTCTTTTCTCACCGAGCGAGCGCCTCAGGCGATCGCGGACCGAGGATTTTTTTTTTTTTTTTAAATATTTCATTTAAACCTAACCGCGCGACCGGTACATTAGAATAATAACGCCCGACCGACAATTTATCATAATAACAAATGGATTTTTTTATTTTTTTTTTCTTTCCTTTCGGGTCTGTCTTCTTTGCGCTTTTCCGGCTCCGACGCGTTCAAAACGATTATATTGCAGTCCGTCGCCCGTTTTCCGCAGTCGTTACGCCGAATATATTTGTTTGTAATTGAATACAATCGTGCGGCGGTCGCCAAGAGTCCTAACGACGACGTTCGTTCCGAAACCCCGGCCACCGCCCCCACCCCTCCATACACCCCATCCCTCCGAAACGACCGCCGCACCGTGAGTATTCGAACATGGTTCTAAAAAAAAAAAGCGGGGGCGGGCGCGGTACGATATTATATGTCGTATTCGGGTGCCTCTAACCGGGGCGGAGAAATGCGCTCGTGTTTGCTCGATGTTTTAATTGTCTTCGTATTGCGACGACGACGACTTCCGTAAAGTTCGTGGGGCGGGGGAGAGGAGTGCGCGGGCGAATGATGGGCAGGTTCCGGACTCCCCGGAGATTTTCGACGACCGGGCGGGCGATCCGGCAATTATTTCGTTTCGAATCCGGCAAAACGAATCGCTCGGTTTTGGTATAATGTCGCGTCGGATGCGCCCGACTCGTATAATAAATGTCGTCAAATTTATTATTTACATAACAAAGGTAATGACGATAAAACCGAGTCAAAAGACGTATTGTGTCGGAGTCGGCAAATTGTTTCAATCGTTTGCAAATCCGCCTGTCGACTTTCGATATGACTTTGTTCCCTGCGGTGTCTGTAATTTTAGGTTAGGTTACCGTAAGTAACACAGCGAATCATATGAAAGCGGACATTACGCCAAAACGGTCTTTTTTGTTAATAATTAATTCTCTTCCCCTCCCCCCTTCAATCCAAGCGATGAACGCAGAACGATTCGATCGGTATACGCGACGATAAAAATAATCGTAACGAAAAACGATTCTGGTCGGCACTCCGATAAACTGGTATTGTATTGTTATTACATTATTACAGTCGTGTTGTTTTGACCTCGTACATAATAAGCTAACGGCGACCGCGGCCTATCAACGAAATCGACAAAACTAAACCCGTCGTCGTGACGTCGAGAAAAACGCGTGATATTTCCGCAGCGTATTCGCCATAATGTTTTCGTATACAATTTTCGTTGGAAGGTTATTAAAAAAAAAAAAAAATAACCATTTTACCGACGCTAAACGCAACGTTCGCGGTGGAAATTGCCTAGTATACGACAGACTATCGCTGTATTTTTTTCTAAAAGTTTTCTTTTTTTTTTGGTTCTTTTCATACGTCGCGCGATATAATTTTAACGAAATAGGTACAGCTCGACGGCGTATATACGTATATACACCAGATATTATAGCCGAGATTATAAAACGAACACAAAAGTTACAAAAAAAAAAAAAAAAAAAAAAACTATATCGTTCTTTCTGCGGCGCACTCGGCTTAATTATCAGGAGAGTGTATATACAGTATCGTAATAAAGCGGCGAAACAAAAAGACTAAAAGAAAAAAAAAGAGGGCGCACTTGGACGATCGTCAAAATTTCGGTCGACGAAAAACCGCGCGAGAAAACTAAAGCTTTTTGTTGGCTTACTCGACATTTTTTTTTTTTTTTTTTTGGCTGCCGTTTCGTATCGAATTAATTGATATTCAATCGGTCTATAGGATATCTATTTCCCCGTCATCGTTAAAACCTCCGATTCGTTTTGCTAACGGTAAATTCGGCGCTTCTCGGCGTCTGCCTTTGTTGATAAAACAAATAAATAAATAAAAAAATCCAAACGGACATACTTCGCACGACGGGCGTGGGCCGCTGTCGAAGTTGGTAAGGTATAGAGAGAAAATTGAATGCGTATCTGTACGCGACGATCAATCGTTGGTAACGAAAAACGTTTCTGCGCGGAGTACTATTGTATACGTTTCAAAAATCCGTAATATTTACGATTGGCAAATGATACGTTTCCTACGTTTTTTTCCCCGTTGAAAATGGGAGAACGATCTGCTCAAAATACTACCGCGGTCAAATTTCCTTTGAGAAAAAGCGCTGCTCTTGAAAATCGGAGCGCCAAAATTTCTGGGAGAAAAAAAAACCAGCAAAAAATCAACAACATTGTAGAACCAATCGTTAATACGTGTTCGACGGTCCGCTCGGAAACTAAAAAATTGTTTTTCTGAAATAAAAAATAAAAAACCGACGCGTTTACATTATCGCCGGACTCGGTAGACTCCGCGGAGAGGGGAGGGCGGAATGCGTGGCGCGGGGGG